AGACACAAACACAGATAAACACACACACACACACATGCGCACACACGCGCTCACACGCACACACACACACACACATAGACACAGATGCAAACACACACACACACGTACACACATACACAAAGACACACACACACACAGAATGTAATTTTCAACACGCGAAGCACCCCCAATAGCCTCCAACGAGGCTGCCTCGCTTTGAACTTGAGCGCCATTGGGCTCATTGGGCGTGGCACTTTATTGCTAACGATTATCGTCGCTTCATTGGCAATTGATACAAATTACTTTAAATGGAAGTGGAAATGGAATCCGAATTGGAAATGCCTGATGGCTGATGGCAAGTTTCATTAAACTGATATCAAATATAAATAAACACACATTGGCTTAAAGTGCCAAATTTAAGATTTATTATGAAAAGTGAAAACAATTGTCATAATGTAAACAGCAATCGCATATTGAAATTATGACTGATAATTCATGGAATAAAGCTACTCAATTACAAATTCATTCATTTGACCTCAAGCTAAATGTTTGTCTAAGTTTCCGGACTTTTTGTCATACACACACACTTATACACACTCATACACACACACTCATACACACACAGATACACACACATCCATACACAGACACACCCATACACACACACACAGACACACACACACTCATACACACACACATACACACACACATGCACAGACAGACACATACACACGCACAGACAGACATATACACACAGACACATACACACACACATACACACGCGCACAGACAGACACATAAACACGCACAGACAGACATATATACACAGGCACATACACACACACAGACACACACATACACACGCGCACAGACAGAAACATACACACGCACATACAGACACATAAACACAGACACATACACACACACAGACACACACATACACACGCGCACAGACAGACACATACACACACATACACACGCGCACAGACAGACACATACACACGCACATACAGACACATACACACAGACACATACACCCACATACATGCACACACACACACAGACACACACACAATCATACACACACCCTCATGAACACACACACACTCATACACAGTCACACACATACAGACACACACACTCATACACACACACTCTCATGCACACATACAGACACACACACTCATACACACACAGTCATACACACACACTCATACACCCTCATACACAAACATACACATAAACACACATACACACACATACACACAGACACACACACACAGATACAGACACACACGCACACACACACACACACTCACACACTCACACACACACACAGACACAAGCACACATACACACAATCACGCACAGGCACAAACACACAGACACAGACACAGGCTCTCAACCACACACAGACACAAACACAGATACACACACACACACACGCGCACACATGCGCTCACACGCACACACACACACATAGACACAGACACAGATGCAAACACACACACACACGTACACACATACACAAAGACACACACACGCACAAAATGTAATTTTCAACATATAGCCTCCAACGAGGCTGCCTCGCTTTGAATTTGAGCGCCATTACTTTAAATGGAAGTGGAAATGGAATCCGAATTGGAAATGCCTGAGAGCTGATGGCAAGTTTCATTAAACTGATATCAAATATAAACAAACACACATTGGCTTAAAGTGCCAAATTTAAGATTTATTATGAAACAATTGTCATAATGTAAACAGCAATCGCATATTGAAATTATGACTGATAATTCATGGAATAAAGCTACTCAATTACAAATTCATTCATTTGACCTCAAGCTAAATGTTTGTCTAAGTTTCCGGACTTTTTTTAGCACATTGATTATCTGAAATATGCTAAGCTGCTAAGACTATTAAATAAAACGCCAAATGACACTAGGCCTAATTGCTATTTATTTATAAGCTTTGTTAAACATTAATTAACTTTTACAATGATGGTTTTTTCACACACACGCAGATACACACACACACACGCACACAGACACACACACACACCCATAGACAAAGATAGATACAGACACAGACACACACACACAAACACACACCCACATAAGCATGCAAACGGGCACACGCACACACAGACACGCACACAAAGACACAAACGCACGCACAGACACATACAGACACACACACAAGCACAGAATCACATACACAGACACAGACACACACTCACACACCCGCACACACAGACACATATTTACACACAGACACACGCATGCATACACACACACTCACACACATACAGACACAGACACACACACACAGACACACATGCACACAGGCACAGACACAGACTCACGCACATACACACAGACACACACACACAGAATGTAATTTTCAACATGCGAAGCACCCCCAATAGCCTCCAACGAGGCTGCCTCGCTTTGAACTTGAGCGCCATTGGGCTCATTGGGCGTGGCACTTTATTGCTAACGATTATCGTCGCTTCATTGGCAATTGCTACAAATTACTTTAAATGGAAGTGGAAATGGAATCCGAATTGGAAATGCCTGATGGCTGATGGCAAGTTTCATTAAACTGATATCAAATATAAATAAACACACATTGACTTAAAGTGCAAAATTTAAGATTTATTATGAAAAGTGAAAACCATTGTCATAATGTAAGCAGCAATCGAATATTGAAATTATGACTGATAATTCATGGAATAAAGCAACTCAATTACAAATTCATTCATTTGATCTCAAGCTAAATGTTTGTCTAAGTTTCCGGACTTTTTTTAGCACATTGATTATCTGAAATATGCTAAGCTGCTAAGACTATTAAATAAAACGCCAAATGACACTAGGCCTAATTGCTATTTATTTATAAGCTTTATTCAACTTTAATTAACTTTTACTATGATGGTTTTTTCACACACACGCACACACCGACACAAACACACAGACGGACACACACACACACACAGACACAGAAACACACACACACGCAGATACACACACACACACAGACACAGAATCACACACACACGCAGATACACACTCGCACACGGGCACACACACACACACACACAGACACGCGCACACAGACACGCACACTCAGACACACACAGACACACACAGAGACACACACACAGAGACACACACACACAGACACACACACGCATAGACAATGATAGATACAGACACAGACGAATGATGGTTATAAAGATCAAATCTGCCACAATCAAGCGTGCCATTCCACGTGTTGCACCCACTTAGTTAATATAAATTTTGTTTTGTTGTCCGAGCCTTAAGTATATTTGTTAAGTGTACACTTAGTTGGTATTCATTTAATTGAAGTTGTGAAATTCGTATCTGTTATCTTATATGAAAGATATCTCAGCTTCGGAAAATATATTTAATGAAGAAAATGTTTTTCTCTTACCATTATATAATGAAGTTATTCCTCAGTTAATATTTTTTGTTTCTTTTATAATTTTTAAAATATATTATATTATTTGAACGAAAACAGCAACAAAAATGATCGGGTGTTGAATGTGGCTAAGATTTACATTAGGTTTTGAGAAGCATGGTTGTCATTAAAAAGACATTTTATGTTGTTAGGCAAAAAACCAGGGTGAAGTGTAGTTGCAGCCTACCTGCTCTGGCCACGATTCAAGATATATCCTCTACCAAATTATTGTTTTGTACGAATTTGCTGCTGACATTTTGAACAATAGTAAAGGGAGGAAATTAAATAAAGGTACATTCTTCCTCATTTAACAAGGGAATTAATATAAAGAATTGGCCGACTGCAGAGAAAAATCTGAGCAATGTCCAATCCTGACCAGTCAAAATAGGTACCTCGTTTCTTTTTTGATACTATTCCTATTGGTTCTTATTGGATTTTGGCCGTCATTCATTGTATTGTTTGTCTTTCCTACACTTATTATTTATTGGTTTGTTTTTTTTTATACACTAACCCCGTTAAAAATTGGAAATCAAGGCACAGTGGTTGAGTTCTAATATATGTAACAGACAGAAGAAGGCGTGACAGACCCCATAAAGTATATATTCCAAATCCAGAGGACAGGCCGAGTTGATTTAGCTATAACATTTGGGTGAATGCGTGCCTGAGTATTTATAAAAGACAGACGGACACACGGACGGACAGACTGACAGACGGATGTGGCTCAATCGAGTCGGCTTGTCGTCCTGATCAATAATATATATACTTTATAAGATGTGCCACGCCTCCAATGCATCCTTCTGCCTATTACATACATTTGCACAAAACCATTTTACTGATTTCACATTTTTAATGGGATGAACGTATACCATTTGGCCAATCTGCAAAAATCGCCAAGACCAAGGAATTTCCTATACATTCAATAGCATGCATTCTTTTATATTCGAAGAATCGCAATTGCGATTGAATTGTTTGAATTGCCAAATATTAGTTTACTTTAGATCTAAATCTTACCGCATTAGTGCAGAGAAATTCTGTATTCAAATACAGCAAATTGTATTCAAATACAGCAATTTGTTTTTAATCAGTTTTCAGTTGTCCGTATCTTAATGATCGATATTAGCTATGAAAAATATTATAACACGCACATAGTCCTGTGCAGGTTATCTTTAATTAAACACATCTTCAGCAAACCATATATACGTCAACCTTAGTTCACTGCCCAAACAACTGATGATTCGGGATCTTACTGATCGACAAGGGCAGATAGATTTTTTGTTCAAGAATACATACACTGTTTGTGGTCTACCATGACTCCCTCTGTCCGTAACATACATTTTCACAAATCCTTTATACTGCATTCGTATTTTTGATGGCTTCAAGTTATAAAAATTAAAACAAATTACATTGAAAACCACACAATTATAATATTTCCATTAGTAATATAATTAATAATATTTATATTCTATTACAATATACATCTCAAAAAAACAATTTTTTATATGTTAAATATTCGATAATATAGTGACGTAGATTTAATTTGTTTATCGTGTGCCTTGGCAAAACGATTAAAAAATTTATGAGCTAAATATTTATAATTAATTTACTAAACCCTTGACTTTTCATGTTTTGATTGTAATATAGTGTTCTTATTAGAGCTGCTTTGATCAGCCCGAAATAAGCAATCCATGCGATCAGCCTCAAAGAACGAATAGACAACCCGAACATTGTTAGTAAAGCCACCTCCATCCTTCCATGCACTTACAATTACAATGGGATCGCCATCACTAATTAAGTCGCTTTTTTTAGCACTGTTCAGCGCGTAACGGACTCGTGCATCAACATCGGTAGCGTAATTTTCAGCACAGTCTACCGGATAAAGTAATGGTAATACACCGCGATGTAAATTAACCCAGCGGGCTGCCCGTTCACATCGAGTAACTGCAAGAACTGGACATCGTGGTCTGAATTTGCTCAGTAGAGCTGCAGAGCGTCCCGATGTCGTAAGTGCAATGATAAGCGTAGCTTTTGTTCGCCTGGCTGTTTCAACGGCAGTTATAGCTATGGAATGGGAAGCATCCAATTCGCCTTGTGTTTCATGAACTAAATCGTCAAAAAGGTCCCGATACCATACAACTTTTTCTGCTTCACGGCAAAGTGTATCACAAATTGCCACAGTTTCTATCGGATATAAGCCAATTGCCACCTCGGATGACAACATAATGCAATCGACACCATCAATGACTGCATTTGCAAGATCAAAACACTCTGCACGTGTCGGAAAAGGATTGAATCGCATTGACTCGAGTACATTTGATGCAATGATAACAGGTTTTCCAGCCTTATTACATTGAGCAAGTACTGATTTTTGTGTTATAAATAGTTTTTCTATCGGAATTTGTGTTCCAAGATCAGCGCGACTTAGAAGTAATCCATCCGATGCACTCATTATTTCCGGTACACGACTAAGTGCAATCTTGCTATCGACTTTTGCTATGATCTTAATATGTTTACCTTTGTCACCAAGCACTGAACGTAATTCTTTAATATTCTTAGCACTTCGTACACCCGATGCGAAAACAAGGTCAATATTTGTCCTGACACTAAACTGTAAGTCATCCATATCCTTTTCAGAAACTGCAGGCAAGTCGATCTCTACTTCTGGTAATATTACATTGCAATTATTGCCAAGCAGTCCACCTTGAATTACTTCACAAACAAGCCCATCTACTCCAACTTCAAGAATAGTTAGAAAAAGTTTTCCATCATCTACAAATACGCGATCCTCGGGTTTTGCGACATTAATGATATTTGGGTAATCCACGTAAATAGCTTCTTTACTTCCTTTGTCGTATAGATCTCGATTAATGGATAAACGTATATTTTCTCCATTACGTAATAGAATTTCATTTCCTCCTTCCAATAAGCCGGTTCGAATTTGTGGTCCTCGCGTATCTACAGCAAAGGCTACAGAAACCGTTTGACCAAATTCATTTTTTATGCGTTGAATGCTTTTGTTAACTAACTCAATAGTTTGAGTATGCGAATCATGCGACTCGTGAGAAAAGTTCAATCGAAAAATATTTACGCCCTTTAGCAACATATTGTAAATTGTTTCGAAATTACGCGATGCCCGTGATATAGTTGCAATAACAGATACCAGTCGACGATGCGAAGATTGTTTTTTTATATTCAGATCACATATATGGCTTAATTGAGTAGAACCCTTCCTTAAGTTGTCTTTGGCTGATGAAGACATATTGAAACAGAAGAAATATCAATTCCACTAAAATTTACTCCACTTATCAATTTTTAAAACTATTAACTTTGTTTTTTTTAAGTATTGAAATATAATTCAATGACAGTACTGATTTTAAAAACAAGAGAAATACAAAATAAACGAAAAGTATTAGTAAATCTGCTGATCAGTACATCATGAAGAAAACTATGAATATTTAACTTATTTAGTGAAGACTTGATTGTCATCATTAAAGGAGTCTTAAAATAATATGCAAATACATAATGATGGACGGACAGGCGGACAGACATTCACATAAACACACCGTGAGACAGAAGAAAATATAATTAGTTTTGCAATTGCATTCTCCTTTATCAAAAATAATCAGGAAAATTACTCTTTTCCCCACCGCAAATTATGGAATGTGACTGCAACGGGATAAATCGATAGCGATTATCTGTGAAAATTGAAAAGGCTCTTAAAAATCGTTATCATGAAAGACGGTCAATGGTGTTTGATGACAAAACCGAAACCATATTCTTAATTCTGTTGCGGGGTTGGCGGTTTCTACATCCACCGACTACGAAGTCAGGGGATTTGTCGTAATATGAACTAACTAATCGAAATCCCTAAAGCTGCGTATTCTGTAACATTGACCCCGAAATTTACTATCTTGCTAAAACTCGACTTCTTACTCAGCAAATCAATCACGGTAAATCTTAAGAAGCGCAGGAACTGACTGTAGCTATAGGCCTAAGTTATTTATAAGTTTATTTATGTATTGTAAACAGTAATGGGCTATTACTTAAGTGTGTACATTTTTTAGCATTGAAACATTATTACTTTATATACTTCATGACGTGTCGCACGCCACCTCTGCTTGTAACAAATATATTGATAGTCATTATATCCCGAATTCCTCTTTCGATGCGTACAGGGTATTGATCCCTACAAAGGCAGTAAAAAATGAAAGATTACTCTACTAGCTCGAATAACAATATTATAAGGCATACACAAGCATTCTCTGCTTACTTCGCTGCTATTGAAAAAATATAAGTTCTTATGGTATGCATAGAATACATTTCAGATTTCAAGTATTAGTTTTTGTTTAGGATACCGCTACGTTCACACGAACAGATTAAAAATTGTATGATAAATCATGGGCAAAAAATTAAAATTTAAATTAAATTAAGTATATATAAATTAAATATTTTTTAAGTTTTTTAGGTAGCCTCTAAAAAGTATGACTAACATTTAAAGTTCCCATTGTAATTGTTAAGCACGTAAACGACCTCAGTTGATTAAATTATATCTGATTAGCTTCATTTCACTGACTTACATTTTTGAAGCAATTGATAAAAGATACTTAGAATTTAACCCACATTAAAAAAGGAAGTAATGTGTACTGCGATTTGAACGTTTTTTTGTATATAATTATAATAGGGTATAAAAATATATAATATAATTTAAAAAATTTTAATTATTTACTTTATTTTCCGACTTATTGCAGATTATTTCATTAATTTAAAATAATTTACATATTTCTTGAGGAAACACATGCCTTTTTTGCTATGGCCAATAATTTTTGAATAACTTTTCTTCTAAATTTAGAATCGTACTCATATTTTTGATCGTGATAATGACATTCATGAGTGACTGGGCACCAAAATATGGGTATCTAAAAATTAACATATTTGTGAATTTGTTGAGAAGAGCGGAAAAGAGTATCAAAAACCCAAATTTACAAAATCTGTGTATCTATTACCTGAACCCTCAAAGAATATGGATGTTTCCATATTTTGTGGTAATCAATCATACTTGAAAAGCAAAGTCAATTTATCAATTTTAATCGGTAATAAGGAAATGGGATGAATTATCGAAAAAAATCCTTTAAGGTATTCAAATTTTTAGAATGTAGTATTGACATTCATCTGTATCAATTCTCATTTCTATGGGTTTAGGGGATAAAATATACTTATAAAACTGATAGACTGAGAGATACATTGAATCTTTCGAATACCTTTTATTTTATTTATTCCCTTTTTGTTGTATAAATGCATAGCAACCAGTATTATATCCAAGAAAGACGCTTTACAAAACTCACCCAACATAAAATAAGTTAGAAAGCAAAAGGGTTATCAGCTTGACCAGATGGCAAGCCAAAACCCATCAAGCTGTCTTCCGGATCGACATATCTGATAGTTGAACAATTAATTGTTCAATGGTCGGGAGTACATATAAGCTCATGTCTACCCAAGAAAAACTTTCTACAGACCAGATGGCAAGCAACTAAGCCATCATTATAGCTATATAGATATAAATATATATGTATCAGTTTTATGATAAACTTTTGACCGTAATAAACCCCTTTTTATGTCTATTTAGGTAAACAGTAAGATGCATATAATCTAAAGTCATAAGTCATTATTGGCCCTTAGAACATAAGAAACTGTATATAAGACCACACCATTTACGAAATAAATCAGTACGAATATCACTCCTAATACATACGAATATCACACTTGAAAATAGAACACCGTGCCTCGTCTTTCACTAAATTCTACTCATCCCCGTTGCCCACCTGGTTCAAGTACTAGTTGCGACGCCAGTAGTCATTGGTTCACTGTACTCAGTGAAATGCATAAATATCGATACAGATACATTGTAGCACTTTGGTTACAACATTTATATACACAAATCCAAACCTCAGCACTTACGGTAATATGATCGCTCTTGAGCGCATATGCCTGAACAGCGCTGAGTCGGCATACTTGACATCCGCTAAGACTATGTCAAGTATATGAACATGATACCTCCTCTCTTCCGCAGCGACTGTCGTCCCCCATAGATATACATATATATACACAGTAATACATAAGATGACCACTGTACTTCGAATATGTAATAGACTAAGAGATCATTCAATAAAGAGACACGGTCAAAAACAGAACATATAGTGCTGTGATGTTTTTAATATAATACATCTTCGGTCCTTCTCCTTCCTGATGATGTTTTAATAACAATACATGGCCACCGTGACAAGTCGTTTTGGACTCTTTCCTTAATGGAGCTCAACAATTTTCTATACTGGACTCGAAGGCGTTGACAACTTTTCTAATTTGTCACTTTCGCCAATGTGCGTGACAACGTTACGCGTTACAACACAACGTAGGGACTCCGCAATAACGACAACAACAGCAGCAGCATAAAGGAAAACGAAATCAGAGTGAGTAGTGAAAGTATGGCACGCAGAGGGGGAGTGCAAAATAAAATAAAAAAGAGAATAGCACACGTAAAGTGGCTATTATATTCAAGCACCACACCTGCCCCATGGGCAACAGCCCAAAAGCTGCAATAAGAGATTGACTTTTTAAAGTCAAAACTCAACACAGAAAAGCCAAAAACAAATACTCCTACTCACTCAAATATAAAAATTGTAACTCAAACTAACAAGATTACTCCACCCAAAGAGAAGAAGCTGACCAGCAAACTGCGTGTGCACACTGTAAACAAACGTGCACAGGAGAAAACTGGAAGGATCAGCAAGCGTGAAAGGCAGGCCGCCTTTTATGCCAACGAGTGAAAACAAGAACCACATCAGAAGCTATGACGACAAGTGTGAAAGACAGGCCGTCTTTTGCACATACGAGGGAGCATCAGCGAGCCAACCGGCGACGACCAGCTGATGCAGCAAGGAAATACAGCAGGCGAACAAAAATTTTATTTTCAATGTAATATATATGTTTAAATATAAGTAAAACATTGTAAAATCGAGCGGAATCTTTTCTGCCCGATAATAGTATGGCCCGTAAAGCCGTTCAACAAATAGGTAGGAAGATCACTGCGATGATCGAATAGGGAAAATAGACGTAATAACAATACAAAACAATACAATAACAATTCAAGAAAAAACACATACTACATACGTATGTTCGATAATAGCATAAGTAAATTTGATGATATATCAATTATACCCACAATGGGGTTAATCGAAACAAAATCAGTGGACTCCACTGCTAACGTAATAAATAAAATCGAATCATCTAGTACTGATATAAGATAACAAATATACTGTTATTAATAATTGTCTTAATATTGTGTGCATATATTGTATATAAGGCATACCTTTTAAACAATAAATGTCTAACGAAAAGAGCACTCAGAAAAGCAAATGATCTAGACAAGATCTGATATAATATGCCCACAGACAATTTTAACAAAAGTATATTTAAATAAAAAATATAAAAAAGAAATGAATACAGAAAAATGCATACGCATTCTACTTGAAAAGGAACCAGAATTCGAAGATAGGGTAGTGTCTACAATTCAAGACAAAGTACAGCTTAGATTTTTCCCCACGTTCGCACCATACAAGCACGCAAAAGAGAATAATACTAAGTAATGTAAAAAATTGCTGGGTATTTTCTGAAAGAGAAAATGAAATAGTAGGGCAAATAAATATAATAAAAGTTTCATACAAACCAGAAGAGAACAAAAATGTACTGCAAATATGTATATAAGTAATGAATATTAAGTATGGAATGGGAGCAACGTAGTCTCCATATCCGTAAAATAAAAGAAATATATGGTAAATCATACAAATGTTTAGGACAAAATAGAGCGATTCAACAAGACACTTTAAACAAACATGTAAAAATTCTCGTCGATTCATTCAACGACGTTAGAATATTAGTGCATGATAATAGGGAAACAATAAATAAAACGAACTGGTCAAAAATTTTAAAACTATTGATCAAGTTACGTTTGCAGTTAATAATTGTCAAAGAAAAGTATGAATTAGATATATTCATACCATCAATTCTGAACACCCCTCTAGAACTCAGATAAAAAACAAAAATCAATAGAGATAGATTCTGTGGAAAATGAAGATTCTGAATCTGAATGTGAAACTGAATCTGATTTAAACGATCTTACAATTCCCGCACAGGACAGGAAGAAGAAACTATCTCTAATAGAAGCATAAACGAATCCAAAGAAAACATCATGACGGACATAAGTGCCCAAAGGGCATATATAAAAGACATTTCGAATGCCATTCAGGAATTCAACGGACAAAGAATACATCTTTAAAGATTCGTAAGAGCTTTGAA